TTTGATTTTTATTTTGTGTTCAGGTCTTTAACCCCTGTTTTGTATTACTAAAGGTATCACTGTCAAAATACACTGATTTAATTATAAAATATACTGAACAGGTGACCGAATGAATTTCACAGGAGCTGCTAGACCACTTTCTCCAGCAGGAAAATCAGATATGTCGTCGAAACACAGAGCCGACAGCAGGTCACCCAAGCTTGATGTGCGAATGAATAGAGCTGCTGCTGACCAGAAGAAACCTAGGAATACAGAGAGCTTATCTGCCAGTGAGTCTCTTCTGCTGAAATCAGATGCTGCAAAATTGCGGTCGGACTCTCACAGCAGGTCTTTGTCTCCAAATCACAACACTTTGCAAACACTAAAAACCGATGGAAGAACAACTACTGGTCTGAGAGCTGAATCTCCAGGGCCAGGAACCCGGTCGTCTTCTCCAAAGACAAAGACACTTACAGCTGTTAGATCTGGTGCTAGTTCTCCACGATCCTCATCACCCCATGACAAAACTCTACCTCAGAAAGCTCCGTCCCCTGTAAAAACAAAGCTTGATCCTCCTCGAGAACGCTCCAAATCCGATTCTTACACATTAGATCCAGACACCCTTCGCAAAAAGAAAGTGCCACTAACAGAACCCTTAAGGGGGAGGTCCACTTCACCCAAACCAAAAGTCATTGCAAAAGATGGAAAACCTGTTAGCGAAACGGAAAATAGAGCTCCTTCCCCTCATGTTGTGCAAGAAAATCTTCACAGTGAGGTAGTTGAAGTCTGTACTTCGATGACTTTAAAGACGAACAGCATTACAGACAGCACCTGTGAAGACAACACAGAATTCAGAAGTCTGGACGATGGTTCTAATAAAGTTCATTTCAGCATAGGAAAAGCACCACTGAAAGATGAACAAGACATGAGAGCATCACCAAAAGTGAGCCGTAAATGTGCTGGTCGGCACACAAGACCCAAAAAAGAAAAATCCAGCTTTCTTTTCAAAGGAGATGGCTCCAAGGCTGTAGAGCCTGCCAAGCAAGCAATGTCACCTTCCGTTGCAGAATGTGCTAGAGCTGTGTTTGCTGCATTTCTTTGGCACGAAGGAATAGTTCACGATGCTATGGCTTGTTCATCTTTTTTGAAATTTAATCCGGAACTGTCCAAAGAGCATGCACCAATACGAAGCAGTCTTACTCAACAACCTGCAGAGGAAAAAGAAACCAAGTTGAAAAATAGGCATTCGTTAGAAATATCATCTGCTCTTAACATGTTCAACATCTCGCCTCATGGACCAGATATATCTAAAATGGGTAGCATCAATAAAAACAAAGTCCTCTCAATGTTAAAAGAACCACCTCTGCATGAAAAGTGTGAGGATGGAAAAACTGAAACGACCTCCTTTGAAACATCCGGTCACCACACGATGAAATCCAAGTCTCCTCTTCCGTTAACACTGCAGCACTTGGTAGCTTTCTGGGAAGATATTTCTTTAGCAACTATTAAAGCAGCTTCCCAAAATATGATTTTTCCAAGTCCTGGTTCTTGTGCAGTGTTAAAGAAGAAGGAAAGTGACAAAGATAATAAGAAATCCAAAAAAGAGAAAAAGAAGAAAGAAAAGGTTGAGGCTAGGCCCAGGGGAAATCTTTTCGGTGAGATGGCCCAGCTTGCAGTGGGAGGACCTGAAAAAGACACCATCTGTGAGTTGTGTGGAGAATCCCATCCATATCCAGTGACTTACCACATGAGGCAAGCTCATCCAGGTAAGTTTGCATATATTTTTTTTTAATTCCCGTGTCCATCTGTGAAATGTATTGCACACACACGTTTTGGTATGGGTTACTGCTAGGAAAATGTGTCAGGCTGCCTTGTCTAACATTTTAACACCGTTCACTTTATAAGCTAAATTAAAACTTACACACACTTACTTACACATTTGTGTACATCATTTAAAGTAGTGATGGATCTAAGTTTTCAAAGGTGCTGAAGAAAGCTGACTGAAAGAAGGCCAGAATAATGAGCTGGCTTTACAGTACCTTTTAAGAAACATGCCATTTGTTACACTTCAGGACTTGAAACTGCGCTGACAAAATAGAAAAATAAAAAATGTGTAATTGGTTAAGTAGTTTCTGTGTTGCCACAAGTTTTCTGTTATTATTCTCCTGTTAATAGTAGAAAAATTTTATTTATCTGCTGTGTTAGCACTGGGTGGCAGTGACTTACTTTTTTTGGTTTAAAACATATCTTAAAAAAATTGACTCAGTTTGCGTCTCTAGACAGTTTGTATTGTAGAATACAACCCGAGCCTGCTATTTTGTCTCTTTATGTGGGTCCCTGAATTTTTTTCAGGAGTTTTTTTGATTTTAGGAAAATGAGGTAAACCAGTGGTAGCGAGGCATTCTCTTAGCTAGTCAACTGAGTTCAAAATATACCTAAGTTGTGTTTTCTGTAGAAAAAGGATCACTAATAGAAGGAATTAACTACAGTATAGTTAGTAATAAGGAGCCTTGTTACAGACAAAGGTGATTTCTGTGTCTTCTAGCTTGTAAATTCAACTCATTATTTTGCCAGTTAGCAAGGTTCAGGCTAATGTTGTATGCGCACTCGTTTTAACACTGTATGCAAGGTTAAAGCAAAATTAAAGAAACATTATTCAGCAATTATCAGTGCCCTGAATCTTTCTGAGAAAAAGGAATGCACTTCTCCTTTTAAGCTTTGTTAGACAAAGTAAGGGTTTTTTGTGAAATTGTAGATAACGTTGACTAATATTATAGTACTGACCTTACCATCACTGAGCTGTCTGAACAGGGAGCTGGTGATGCTTTGGGCCAATTCATAATAAAAACTTGAAAACTGCAGTGCATTTGGATTCTTTGGGTGCTGGTGGGACACATGGACATGCACCTTGTTTTTTAATCACTTCAGAGATAGGGAAAAGGAGAAAATCAGGCCGGGAAAAGACAAGCGTCTCTCCCCTCTTTTGTTCCTCTCTTACAGTAATAAATAATAATATGGTAATAATAATCATCCTTCTTTTGAAACAACTTTTTAAATCTTTTTTCCCCCCGATGTAGGTTGTGGCCGTTATGCAGGTGGCCAAGGTTACAATAGCATTGGGCACTTCTGTGGAGGATGGGCTGGTAATTGTGGCGATGGTGGTATTGGGGGAAGCACTTGGTATTTGGTTTGCGATCGATGCAGAGAAAAATATCTCCGTGAAAAGCAAGCAGCGGCAAGAGAGAAGGTATTTTCATCTGTTTCTCATATGTTTAGCTTTCTGTCTGCTTAATAGTATTTTCATAACTTGAAAATAAGGTAGGGCCTGTTTACAAAAATTGTGAGTTTCAGAACTTCAGAAGGTTTTGGAGCATCTACTTATGTCCTTGGTACGTTTAAAATAATAACAGAAACTTTGCTGATGAGTTCTGCTCAGATTTCTTCCCACACAGCACTGTTTTCAAATTTGTATTTTTTTTTTATCCCAGTACAACTGCAGCATTGAATGTAGCACCTAATTTTTTAAAAGTATGTGTCAGTTTGTTTAACTTCGAGCTGTTTTATGTGTTTACTGAAATTGAGTACTGTTCATATGTTTATAGTTTCTTTAATGATCTTAATCATTCAGATCATTGGATACAGATGGCAAACACTGGGCAAACTAGAGCAGTTTTTAGTGGGAATGGTATGAAATGTGGTGTTCTTACTTTGATCTTCCATGACCATTCTTGCTTAAACTATACAAATATGTTGAGGTTTAGAGATAAGCAGAACAATGATAATTTAACTTCATTTTTGAAACTAAATTAGTTGAAACTTTTTGCACACAAAAATTCATCCTGAGACCCACATCAAAACTTTCAGCTGTTTATTAAAAGTTTGCAAAATTAAGAAAATAATAGAAGTGCCATGTTGTAATTAAAATTATTTTGGGGGGGTTTTGGCTGTTGGTTTGGTTTTTGGGTTTTTTTTTTTAATTACGGCAAGAATCAAGCAATTTTAGTATAAGTGACAGTCAGCTTTTCCTGTGATGAAGCATAATTTAAATACACCTTTTTTTTAATTTCTCTAGATTAAACAATCTAGGAGAAAACCAATGCAAGTTAAGACTCCTCGTGCCTTGCCAACTATGGAAGCTCATCAAGTGATTAAATCCAATTTGGGTTTTTTTTTTTAATTACGGCAAGAATCAAGCAATTTTAGTATAAGTGACAGTCAGCTTTTCCTGTGATGAAGCATAATTTAAATACACCTTTTTTTTAATTTCTCTAGATTAAACAATCTAGGAGAAAACCAATGCAAGTTAAGACTCCTCGTGCCTTGCCAACTATGGAAGCTCATCAAGTGATTAAATCCAATGCACTGTATTTACTG